CGGATTATTCATCTATCTTTTACATATAATGATTGATTTTTATTAGATTTGTTTTGTATGGAGATAGGTGGCAGATTAGTATTACAAAAAAACTAATTTTTAAGATGGTAGTTTTACTCATTTTGTAATCAAGAGTTCGGGATACATATATACACATTAAAATGAATTAATCTTTAATATAATATAAAAACAATCTTTGGTCTAGAGGTATTTAAAATATATATACATGTTACAATAATAAATTATTAGCATCTTAAAATAATAATATGTATATCTATGCTAAAATAATAAATTATAAATAACATTTGTATAATAATAAATTATGATCAACTCCGTGTCTCACACGACACTTATAATGACGCTTGTGTCCCACACGACCTTATTCGAGTTGTGACGCTCCTTCTCCACCGTGTCACTCGACACCCTTTTCGCCGTGTGATGATGCTCCTTCACAACCGTGTCCCTTGACACCCTTTTCTCTGTGTCACCAGACACTCCAGCTCTCCGTGTCACACGACACCCTTCTCTCTGCGTCATCCACATCCTTTCTCGACTGTGTCACACTTTACACCCTTATCTCTGCGACACACACTCACTATCTGCGTAGCGTCTTTCGTCTTAAAAGCCAGTCACATGACACTATTCAATGTACACTACAACCTGACCATCTTCAGTGTCACACACACCCTTTTCTTCTCAGTGTTCCACTACAGTCCTTAGCATATCTAGTGTTCCACTCCATCATCTTCCCTGTCCCACACTCGGTCTGTCAGTTCTTTTAACACTCAACCTTTTCTTCTGTAATGTCCCACAAAAAACAGCATCAATGACCCGGCCCACATTTTGACCAGCGAGGTGGTGGTCCGGAACACCCCGGGTTTCCCGTAAATATCTCCAAGGCCGGTAGAAACCCCAAAGATGGTCTGGTGGTACTATCTACTGCCTTCAAGCCCAATTGAACACTAAAGGGTGTCTGATGCGCACACACTATGTTCCCAAGCTCACTGAATGGGGGCCGTCAAATAACTGGGCCCAACAGACTCGGTGAGTGGGGAGGGCCTTCTAAAACAGTAAAAAGCCAGTAAATACTCTCTACTCCCAGTGTGTGTCCCGTGAGGTGTTCAGGTATTTACTGCTTACTGCGTACCGTGGGGTGTTCGGGTACTTATCCCTCTAAAGCAGTAATGTGTACCGTAGGTGTTCGGGTATTACTTTTAGCTGCTATAGGTGTTCAGGTTTATTTAATGCTTCTAAAGCCATAAAAAATGGACCGTGAGGTGCAGGTACCTACCCCTTTCAAAGGGCCGCTCAGCAGCCCCAAAAATGGGTTTGAGACGTACTCGGGGTACTCCGGCGGGGTTAAACCCCAAATTTAACCGCTATTTTTGGTAGGGGCCGCAACAATACGACACTGGTAAAAGGGGAATTAAAATTACTGTAATCAAAAGAAGTGTTTAACCCAAAAGGGGTTATACAGCGCTCAGGGTAGGGTGTGCTAATGCGGGTCCCCCTCGGATCAACACCTCAAAACCAAACAATTTTTAAGTGTATTTATGTAAGTGTTTTTAAAAGTGTTTTTTTGGGGCGTCAAAACAATTAATCTAATTACTTTATTCCTTAGGGGAAAAAAAAATTTTTTCCCGAAACAAAAATTCGTACCCCGATTCCACCGTAAAATACGAACAATTTTTATTTCCTTGCAAGTTTACATGAGATTCTGAAATTTAAAAATAATGAGTTGCTTTGCAAAGACAGTTTAAATAGTGGACTGAACAAGCGAGGGGGAGGTCAGTTCTGCCCCCCCCAGGGTATTGTTTTTTAAACGTTGATAATATATAAAAATTTCCCTTTTTTCTATCAGTACATGTACAAGGTATACAAGACATTACAAGGTATACAATACTGTAAAAGGGTTAAAAAATTTACATTACAAGGTACAAAACATGTAAAGGTATAAAAGTACATGTAAAAGGGTATAAAATTTACATGTAAAGGAATACAAGCATTTGCAAGGTATAAAGTACATGTACAAGGTATACAAAAAAAACTGTACAAGGGTATACAATATATGTAAAAGGGTTTAAACAATACATTACAAGGTAACAAGTACATGTAAAAGGTAACAAGTAATGTACAAGGTATACAAGTACAGGGTCCTCGGTTTTTTCGTATTCTCAAATCTGGGTATTTTCGAAAAAACATGGCCCTTGCTTTTCAAGGTTGACCGGATAGTATTTTTCCGGGCGCTACCCCAGGTGAGCCGGGGCGGCGCCAATCTGGCATTGTTTACCAGTGACCAAAGGGTCCCCTCACATGCTCCACGAATATTTCATAATTTTCCATTTTATTTTTTTTCTTGAAGTGCTAAATAACTCCATGGCTCAAAAAGAAACTCCTAGTGCCAAGCCTGTGGTAAAGAAGGTAAAAAATACGATTAAATTTTAAGAAAACCGTCATTGAACAATATGAAAGTGGTACAAGTGTGGCCAACTGGCCCGGGTGAAAGAAAAACCCATACAACCTTATGTTCCATAGTGGCCAAGAAAAAGGAAAAAAGGATGCGTTTTTCAAAGGGGGGAAACTAGCACAAAAAAAAGAGATCACCAGTACTCGAAAGGTTGAGAAATTATTATTGGGGTGGCAAAAGAGAAACAATGCAGGAGATACCTTATGACTTCATTATTTTTGAAAAGGCAGGCAGTTAACAACAATTGGTAAAGAAATTGCCCGCAAATGTGGTGATGTGAGTAATTTAAGACCAGGAAAGGTTGGTTTTAGAGATTTAAGAACCCCTACTGGGTACACGTGTGGAAGGGTGCCAGTTCGGACCACAAACGGCTGAAAAATATGGCAGAATTCCAGGAGTACATAAGGGAAGGACTGAAACCTAACAAATGTTCAATTGGACGAAAAGGCCTCTTTTGGAAAAAATGCAAAGGGACCTTCATTACACAGGAGGAAAAGGCAATGCCAGGCACAAGCCTATGAAAGACAGGCTAGCTAAGCTGTCTAATGCAGGGGGATTCAAAGTGAAACCCTTACATGTACCATTCGAAAAAACCCCAAATTTCGGAAAAACAAGTTTGAAGAGTAAATTGTGTGTGTTTTTGGGAAAACTAATAGTAAGGGATGGGTCACGAGGGAAATTTTCGTCGAGTGGGTTTAATGAAGTGTTTGGGCCCATGTGAAAGGAGTATCTCCCGGAAAAGAAATTGGTCTCAAGTGCCTGATATAATGGACATGCCCCCCTCATCCCCAAACTTGGGTGACCTAATTTTCGGGAGTTTTGGGTTCATCCCATAAAGTTTTTCCCCCGAATACCACTCCTCTCCTCCACCCATGGACCAGCGGTCATTTCAAACTTAAAAAAATCTACACCAAAGCAATGTTTCACAAAGCTTGATGTACCACGACACCACTTGCCCAAGGGAATTTTGGGGAGAACACTTCGATCCCCCATTGCATAACCCTTATAAATATACTTTGGGGGAAAAGTGATACCAACTTAGAACTCTGCCCGGGGAAAAAATTTTGGCCGATTTTTTCGACAAGAGGATTTTGAAGGGTTTGGGGGCTGATCCCGAGACCTTTTTCTGTTTAAAAAACAATTTTGGACTGGGGAGTTTCCCTGGGGTTGGATTAGTTTGGGGGATGTGGAAGAATTGGGGGAAGCCACAACGAAGAGCCACCACTGAGGGGCTGCAAGAGCTTCTCAGGAACAGCAACAGATTGCAGCTCAGAATCTTTTCTGAGAGGGGGAGGGAAAAGGATGGAAGAAGGTGCCTTCTTCAGAAATTAAAGGAAAATTTTTTTTATTGGGGTAAAATGGAAAGCTTTATGGAGAAAATCACCCTGACAAGATTGTTCCAAGCCATGTTGGCAACATGACATCAAAATCTTTGGGCCCCCTTTTTGGGGGTTTTTTTAAGAACGCCCGAAACAGAGCTCCTCCACAGTTATTTTGCGAGACAGGACTCCAAAGACTCTCAAGGTGGGGCCCCAGTGGCATTAAAAACAGAGGGAAAGAAGCAACCCAGAAAAGCAAATTGGTACCGAGGGTTGCTGGAAGGGGGTTCCCTTTCCCAAAATATAACAATCCACTCTCTCCTCCTCCATCTCCCAACACTAAGAAAAATCCCAATTTAAAGGTAAGTGTTGCTGTTAATGTTTTTTTTCATCATTTCCCATTTTTGTTTTTTTAACTTATATTTCATGTAAAAAAATTTTTTGTTTTAATTTCTGGTGTCAGGAACGGATTAATTTATTTTCATTATTTCTTAGGGGAAAATTGTTCGAAAACGTAATTTCGTAATAGTAGCAACTCCCAGGGAAAAGATTAACTACGAAAAAGAGGGCCACTGTACAGTTTTCAGGGATACAAGACAGTCAAGGTATACAAGTACATGAAAGGGGTACAGTACATGTAAAGGGAACAAGTCATTCAATGGTTCAGGTACATGACAGGGTATACAAGTACATGTACAAGTTATACAAGTACATGTACAAGGTATACAAGTACATGTACAATGTATACAGGTACATGTACAAGGTATACAAGTACATGTACAAGGTATACAAGTACATGTACAAGGTATACAAGTACATGTACAAGGTATACAAGTACATGTACAAGATAAACAAGTACATGTACAAGGTATACAAGTACATGTACAGGGTATACAAGTACATGTACAAGGTATACAAGTACATGTACAGGGTATACAAGTACATGTACAGGGTATACAAGTACATGTACAAGGTATACAAGTACATGTACAAGGTATACAGATCATAGCTGACATCAGTGACATACTACTATATAGAAAGTCCCTTGTTATGCTGAGCATTTCCCGCAAATTAGGTCAGTTTTGTCCCAGGATGTGACCCACACCAGTCCACTAACACCCAGGATGTGACCCACACCAGTCCACTAACACCCAGGATGTGACCCACACCAGTCCACTAACACCCAGGATGTGACCCACACCAGTCCACTAACACCCAGGATGCAACCCACACCAGTCCACCCAGGATGTGACCCACACCAGTCCCCTAACACCCAGGATGTGACCCACACCAGTCCACTAACACCCAGGATGCGACCCACACCAGTCCACTAACACCCAGGATACGACCCACACCAGTCCACAAACACCCAGGATGCGACCTACACCAGTCCACTAACACCCAGGATGCCATCCACACCAGTCCACTAACACCCAGGATGCGACCCACACCAGTCCACAAACACCCAGGATGCTACCCACACCAGTCCACTAACACCCAGGATGCGACGCACACCAGTCCACTAACACCCAGGATGCAACCCACACCAGTCCACTAACACCCAGGATGCAACCCACACCAGTCCACTAACACCCAGGATGTGACCCACACCAGTCCACTAACACCCAGGATGTGACCCACACCATTCCACTAACACCCAGAATGTGACCTACACCAGTCCACTAACACCCAGGATGTGACCCACACCAGTCCACTAACACCCAGGATGTGACCCACATCAGTGCACTAACACCCAGGATGTGACCCACACCAGTCCACTAACACCCAGGATGTGACCCACACCATTCCACTAACACCCAGGATGTGACCTACACCAGTCCACTAACACCCAGGATGTGACCCACACCAGTCCACTAACACCCAGGATGCAACCCACACCACCCCACTAAAACCCGGGATGCAACCCCCCACCAAATCCACTAACACCCAGGATGACCCCCCCACCCCCCAAACACCCAGGTGTGACCCAAAACCTTCCACTAACAACCCAGGTGTGACCCACACCAGTCCACAACACCCAGATGTGCCCCACACCAGCCACAACACCCGGGATGAGACCCACACCAGCCAAAACCCCCCGGATGCCACCCACACCAGTCCACAAACCCCCCAATGCCCCCCACACCTTTCCACAACACCCGGGATTGCCCCACACCACCCACTAACACCCAGGATTGACCCACACCATCCACAACCCCCAGGAGGGACCCACACCACCACTAACACCCAGATGTGACCCACACCATTCCCTAACACCCAGGTGCGACCCACACCAGTCCACTAACACCCGGAGCCCCCCACCCCAGTCCACAAACCCCCAGGATGCCCCCCACCACCTCCACAAACCCAGGATCGACCCACACCAGCCAAAACACCCAGGTCCCCCATTTTACATACACAACAATATCTAATGTTATACACAAAACACAAGATTGTCAATGTTTTTTTAGCCGAGAACTTACTGTTAACAAAGGTTAAATTTTAAAGGGTGGCAAGGGGGTGCTAAAGGAAATTTAATCAAAGGTTTGGGAATAAATCTGTTGCCATCACAGAACTGCAAGAGGAATTTTTACCCAAAACATTCACCCATGACCAGACTGGCTGAAAACCTATTCAATAGGTGAAACATCTCAAAATTTTTGTTTCAATTGCGTCCTTTTTTCCCTGATCTTTTTCAAAACTAAATTTTTTAAAGTACCCAAAACAAGGTGTTATTCCCAAAAAAAATTAAAGCTTCAATTTGCCCCTTTGAATGAAGCCTCTCAGTGTAAATTTTTTACGTTAATTGAAAAACAAGTTTATTTTTTTTTTTATTTTATTTTTTTTGTAAAGGGAAAAAGCAAATAAATGTTTCCCCAGTGTTTGGTGTTTATTATTATGAAGTCCATAATGAAAAAATATTTGGCTTGTGAATGTTTATAAATCGTAAGGTTCAATATTTCCTCCAGTAATAATAATAATAATCAATTTATTTCTGCAGTATACAGGTATGTAATGTATTACACACAAAAGAAAGCCATTAGCATGCGGTGCATTTTGGGCAGACTATATTTAATTCTTTGGTATAAACCTTGGTAATAAATACCGACAAGTTGGTTTAGAAAGACACGTAAGCAAACACTATAACATATTTATTAGAAAACGTTTCGGTCCTGGGACCTTGATCAAGGTCCCAGGACCGAAACGTTTTCTAATAAATATGTTATAGTGTTTGCTTACGTGTCTTTCTAAACCACTTAATTCTTTAAATATCTGGACCTCGTTTGGGGCCCACATCTGGAAGGTTTGCAAACCTGCTCAGGATGCGTGAAATTGTTGATCTTGCCTCCAATGACCTGGTCACAGACCGGGCCGCGGGGGCGTTGACCCCCGAAACTCTCTCCAGGTAAACTCCAGGTAAACTCATCCTCAAGTAACTAGAGAGTCTTAACTCCCTCCCAAGAGCAGTGAGGAGTTGAGATGTGATGCGGTGCTATTCTCGACTTGGGAGATGATGGTTTTCAGCCATTCTCGGTCACTTGTAAGTACAAATAACGAATATTTGAATTCGCTTTCAAAAACAAATACGGTGCTTCTCGACTTACGATGGGGTTACATTCCGACAAACCCATTGTTAGTTGAATATTAAATTTTTTCAACGATCTGGCTGTGTCCCACCAAGGCTGTGTGATCTTTTTAAAGTTAGTAATTTATACAGTAGAAGGGGTTACTAGCTCCTTGTTCCCACTCAATATTAATATGATATGCTAGATAAATAACCACTGTCACTAAATAAGTAAATAAACAAATAACTGATAAATGAGACACTTTTGCAACTTTTGGGTCTCTTTATTCTGGAAACATTCTCCCACACAGTGGCTTCTTAAGTCCAATGCAGAAAAAGGTGGAACAAGAGGAGGAGTTTGAGGTAATCAGTCCCTCAGCCTTGAGTCGATGTACTTAGTCCATCAGTAATAATAATAATAATATTAAATATAATTATAATAATAATATTAAAATAATAATAGTAATAATAATAATAATATTTATGTATGAGTGAGGTGAAAATGTTGAATAATGATGAAAGTATTTTCTTTTTGGGTCACCCTGCCTCAGTGGGAGATGACCAACTTGTTGAAAAAAGAAAAAAATAATATTTTATTTTGACCTGATGCATATTTGTACAAAGGAATATAATAGTTGAGTGTACATGCCAAAACCCCCTTGTATGCAGAGCATTTCGGGCAAACTTAAAATTAACTTAAGATTAATTAGGCTATAACAGATTCAATGGTCATTAAGTGAGTTACAGTAAGTACAAGAGAATTGAGTATTAATAGGTAATATTATATGGCTTTAATAGGTCAAGTAGAGAAGTTCAGTAGTGTATAATTATAGCTTTGAATTTTAGTTTTGACGAAAGTGCAGCATAATCTCAGAGATGGTGTTTATCAGTATATAAGACCCAAATCCGCAAATATCCTGCACTTTTGTCAAGAATGATGAACTGAACACATTGACTCAAGGCTGAGGGACTGATTACCTGAAACTCCTCTTATTCTACCTTTTTCTGCATTGGACTGAAGAAGTAACTGTGTGGCAGAATGCTTCCAGAATAAAGTTGACCCCCTGAAACCCTCTCCAGGTACAGGTACGCACCAGAAATATTGGTTTTGTAAACCATATATATACAAATAACTACTGTAACTAAGTACTGTACCAGTATTGAAAAGTAAATACAGCCTCTCCTCACTTAACATTGTACTCGTTTACTGACGACTCGGACTTACGACGGGCTCTCCGACCAGTACGCATACCTAAATAGGTACATACAAGGGTGTTCATCCCGTCTTGTCATCAGAGGTTCATAGTAGAAACCCCAGTCGTCCTTTAATGTCATATTCTGTGAAAGACAAAATTTCAGTTCTGTGTAGGAAAACTCCAGAACTTGCTGGAATTATTCAGATATTGTATAAGAGGCATTTATACCAGGGGCAGTGCTGGAATTTCTTAACTGGAAGGCTTGTTAGTATTATCATTATTATTCTTTAATTATTATTATTGAGGGGGCTTAGCGCTTCTTTTTTTGATTATAATAATAATAATAATAAGTATTGAGGGGGCTTTGTAGGGCTAAGGGATTTTTAAGGGGGCATAAGCCCCCAAAGCCCCCCTCTGCACTGCCTGTGATTCATTTATGTTTCAAATTATATTACTTTAAAAAGAGGTTCATGGAAGTGTTCCATGTCTCTCAGTATGGATTGTTCCAACATCGTCGTCCAGTTGTTCCACCAGGATACATTGCTTGCTGTGTTATTGGGAGCACTAAACTTGTAGGGGTAATAAAGCATTTGGGAAATGGAGGTACTCAAGTTTCAAAAGTGCATCGAATTCCTTGAATCAAGAGCCCCTCATTGGTATCAAGGAACCTTCCGAGTGAATGTATATATATAAAAATTTATTATATATTAATATTTATATATATATATATATATATATATATATAAAATTATATATATAAATATAAAAATATTATATATATACTATATAAATATAATATATATAATATATCCCCGTAATTATAATATATATATATTATATTATATATATATATATATTTTATCAGTTATATATATATATTTTTTTATATATATTATATAATTATAACATTACAAAAACTTTATATATATATATATATAAAATAATTTTAAAATTATAATTTTAAAATATATATGTATTATATGTATGTTTATATTAAATTATGGAACATGGGGGGGCATGATAGCCGGGTATGGTACCCGGGGTACTGGTACCCCAGTGTACCCGGGGCCCGGGGGGTTTACCAGGGTTCTTGCTTATGATGATTAAAAAAATAAATACAAGAAATGGACTAGCTGTGTTTATAATGTATAAAAAGGGACGGAACCGGTTTTTAAAAACCAAGGTTTTTTTTAAAGTGAAATGGTGAAAGGAGGATATTTCCCCGGTGTCGGAAAGTGATTGTGCGGGTGTATATTGGTGATATACTTATTGTGGGTGTTAACATGTTTTGTGAAATTTTCCGTGTTATCTCAGGATTTTTAAAAAATTTTTTATAAAGATAAAATTTTAATGGTGGTTAAGAGGGACGCCAGCCTTAACGCCCCCGGGATTTTGGGTCTTTTTAAACCCCCAATTACCGATAATATCTGAACACACTATACTGAGTCCCCCCATTTAAGGGAAACATTTAGTCAGGAGTAAAGGTAGTACAGGGAGTCCCCGAAAATTAGACAGAAAACGGCATGGGGGTGCATTAGGGTCATACGGGTGGGTCAGAAATTTTGTCCTGTTATAAATGTATATATCTTTGGCATCGTTGTAAACCCCCCTGTATATCTACCCTCTGTGTCATTATCTATCTTTTTTTTAAAACGTTTTTGGGGGTTATTTATATCGGTATAGAGGTAATGGGGCAGACAGACTGCCCAAATTATGTTTTTTGGGCAATATTGTATTTTTTTTTTGCATTTTAAGGGATAGGGCAGGAGTAGGCTTTTTTATATAGGCCTATTATGGAAAATTCCTAAACGCTTTAAATTTACTCATGAAATGCCAAAAAACTCGATTTGGGCCAATTTTCGTTTTTGGGATTTTTTTTTTTAACCCCGGTATAATTTTTAAACATTATTTGTAGATTTTTTTTTCAATTGTGAAAGAATTTATATTGTTTTTAAAAAATCACTGATTACTTTTGACAGTTTTAAAAAAATTTGGGCCCTAAATACGATGATAAGGCAGTTTTTAAACCCTGCGGATTTTTCGCTTTTTATTGTAATGTAGTGATAATTGTGAATTTTTTTTGGGGTGACGAAAAGGGTTTTTCTCAATAATAGGCTTGTGAAAAAGTCGGCTTAAACAAACCCAAGGGCCCGGGTTC